CTGAAGAGCATTTGGGTCAGTAATTTGTTGATGGTCCCTAAGCGAACCATTACGTCATGGAGGAGGGGCAGACTGAGCCTAGCTGACTGAAATCAGACTGCCTGCTTCGGATCGAACGAGAGGAACACACCGCCGAAACCACGGAGCTCGAATGTCCAACGTCCAACGTAAAACTAACTTCACCGCGGTACAGAAACAAGGCTCCAGCAGAGCACGGACAGTAGAAACTATTAGAAATGAGAAAAAAACAGTTATTTGTTAACTGATTAAATCGTGTTTTAGACCGCTTATTGCTAGCAAATCAATTCTGACCCAAAGTGCAGCCGTGACTGGTTCTGAGTGAGGCTTTACAGCAGACAATCACTCCCCTCTCTTCCAGGTACTGTGTACTGGTGCAGAATATTTTAGTGGTACGTAGTCCCGGACTGTACCGTGTACCAGTGAGTTCCCTCAAACCTCGTGCGAGTGTCCGATTTTTATGTCAATGTGAATGTGAATTTATTTCTGTTGCCCATAAAAACAACAAAAGTTGACCAAAGTGCTTTACAGTTAAGACAGATTCAAAGAGTCTAATAAATTTGGAAAGTAGACCTTATACATTCACAGATCTTGATCCCGGTTGTTTCATTTTGCAAACACTGAAAAGAGAAGTCTTTCGAGTGACATCTGTAAGAGCTGTACTTTTTGTACCAAGAAGGTAATGTCCAAAATAAATGGCAGCTAATTGAGGTTACCGTGAACTCTCCCCATTTGCATCAATTTCTTTACTTTTTCAAGGCACACAAACACGTGTAAAGGTCAGGACTCGAAGGCCCACCTTGCAGTAATACATATTACCAAAAAACATAATAAAGCTACTTTTCCTCTCAGCTGAATCACCAGTAGAAAAACACATTTAAACACTTCATTCTGCGTCTTTTAAACACTCAGTTTGCCATCTGTTCAGGAGAACAATGGAGAATGAAGGAAATGGAGGAGTGCATATCGACTTTTTCCTTTCACCTTTCTCGTCTTAATGCATCTCATTTTCCTTCAAACCTCTTTTGTTGAGCACCTTTCCTTCCCCATCAACCCTCATCAATCTCCCTATCCTTGCTGGGTGAAAAATTACACCCATTACATTTGACATGTAGTATACAGAAATAACATTCTTTTCCACTGACAAGCATCAGGTAAAACAACTTTGGGTGACTCATAAGATAGCAGAACGAAGGCTGTGCGGCATAAATCACAAACCATTAGACAACGGTGGTACAATAAACACAAGTTAAGGGTTGAGGAAATGGGTTTACACCTCACATCACACAACCAGTGCAACTGTGACAAAGAAACAGGCTTGGCATAAAATTGTGGGGGTTTCAGAACAAAAGACTTATAGAAAAGAAAATGATTGATCTGTCAGCGTGGCTCATGCCACTATAATATTCAATGCCCACAACCTCCTTAGAAAGTTACTACTTTCTGTTTTTTAACGATTAAAAACATTTTTCTAGACCAGTTCAGAGCATCTGAACAATGCTCAATATAAACCCAGTTTGTGAAATGCTCTCTGGTGGTTTGAAGTGAATATCTGCCTCAAGTAGAGGAGTCCAAGTATTTTTGGCATCTTGTTTACAAGGGAGGGTTGAGTGAGTCAAAAGATGTAGCCTATTGTTAATTTAGCTGTACAATTCTGAGATGGTAAAGAAGAACTAGACAAAGCTCTTGATTAATGGTCAAACATCACCTTTGGGCCACGAGATCTGCATGATGACCAAAGAAACAAGATCGACACAAATGGCTGAAATGGATTCCCGTCAAAGGGTCTTCAGATCCGATGAGAAGATTAATGTTAGAGTATTTTTGGTAGGAATATTTTTTTATTATATTATGGCTGAGATGGCTGAAAACCTCTTTCTCCTGCTGTGAAAACACGCCTAAAACATTCTCTTGTCTCGGCCTGAAGGCAGGCTCGCCGACTCGCAGTGTCTCACTGACGTTGTCGCCGTGAAAACATGCCCAAAACATTGGTCTTATCTCCATCTGGAGGCCGACTTGCCGACAGCCATGGATCATTTGGATCACGATTCTATTCGATGCTCATTCTGACATGTTCCATACACAAGTATCTATGTATGTATTCTCTCTTGAGTGAGTCCTTGCAAATAAAAAGGTTAGAGTTAAATCTTCACCTCCCATGTGTGTTTGTGTGTGTGTGTTTGTTTGTTACTTTGTAAGGCCCATTTTTCCAACTTATACTACATTGTGAAGACCACCTGCTCCTTATGGGGCCCAAAGCCTGGACCCCATAAGAAGAAGTGTCGTTGGTGGGTTAGGGGTTAGGTTTAGGGTTAAATATGTACTGGTAATGGTTAGGTGTAGGGTTAAGTATGTACTGGTAATGGTTAGGTTTAGGGTTAAATATGTACTGGTAATGGTTAGGTGTAGGGTTAAGTATGTACTGGTAATGGTTAGGTTTAAGTATGTACTGGTAATGGTTAGGTTTAGGGTTAAGTATGTACTGGTAATGGTCAAGGCCGGATTGACAATACGGGCAACTGCCCAGGGGCCCACGATCTCTAAGTGGCCCAGAGCAGTGAGGGCAAAAGCAAAATATCTGGTCATCTCCTGGAGCCCTGCGCTGCAGAGAGACGGCTGCGCTGCCGCTGCATTTGGGCCGCCCCGCCTCCTCCCAGCACCAGTTGCTACAGCTCTCTATTTATTATTATTATTTTTTACCGAGTCGGATCCTCCACGGCGCAACATGTCAATCAATCCAGTAGGCGTGTCAGCAACTGACCAATCGACAACCTCAATTTTTCCCGAAGGTAAACGCCCCTTACCTGCTGACAAGCCCATCAGGTTTTTATTTCTAGAATTTTATTAACAACACAAAACAGAACAATGCAACAATGTACAAATACAAACTCGTGAAGGCTGTCATAACGACATTTCACAAAATAACGAAAAAGAAAAGAAATAAACATAAAAAATTTAATAAATTAATTAAATTTAATTAATTTAAATTATTATTTAATAATTATTTAATTTAAATTTAAATTATTTTATTATTTAATAATTATGTATTTAATTTAATTTAAATTAATTACATAAAAAATTTCCAAAGGAGCGTGGCATATGAAAAACTTGTTTCAATTAAAACAATACGTTTTATCTGTTGTGAGATGATTCTAGCAGTTTTTAAGTTTTTTAATCTACTTAATGAAGAATAGTATGACTTCAAATCATTCATAAAACAGGAAGGAGGGCTTATTATCCATCCTCTTACTATAACAAATGTGGTACTTTGCTATAAGTATGACTATATTTATGGCTTCAGAGAAAGCTGAGCTTAAGTTATCCACATAAAGTAAAATGGCATCAGCATCAAAAGAAGGAATTTTAAGTTTAAGATTCTGGGGCCGTGATGATGGGACCCTTGAAGATTGTTGCCCAGGGTACAGCGAAGTGTTAATCTGGCCCTGATAATGGTTATGCTGCTATAGGCTTAGACTGCTGGAGGACAAAATGACCATATTTCCCCACTCTGCTGCTTCTTTACTCACTCTGCTGTTCATGTTCGTCCTTTCAACATTTCTATCATTCACTTTTTATTTGTCCCCAGTGATAGAACACCTTTATCTGCAATGTAGTTCATGCCTGTATTGCTTTTCTCTTTTGCCCCAGCCAGTCGAGGCAGGTGGCTGCCTGAGTCCTGCAGGTTTGTATCTGTTTAAAGGGAGTTTTTCCTTCCCACTGTCGCCTATGTGCTGGTTCAGAATAGAAGGTTGTGATCTAAGGATGGAATTTCCTTAGATAACTTTTTACTAATTGGCATTTTGTTTGTAAATGTGAACATTTTTGTCCAGTGCCCTGAGACAACACTTACTCTGAATTGACTCTTTATAAATGAACTGAACTGATTATGCTTCAGGATTTCCAATAAGCAAAATAAAAAAGGAAAAGGAATTATTGGGTTTCCCTCCTACACTAGATATTTACTTCAACGAAATGTAGGATTTTTATTTGTTGCAGAAAACAAATCTTTCAATGGACCAGCAGAGAGTGCACCCCTTTATTGGCTTCACCTGTTGAGGTGAGGATGAACCAAAGTAAGACATTTTTTTTAGTTTAAACAACCACTTTTAGGACAACATACTTTAAAGAAAAAAACTTTATCGTGCGACAAACTGAAAAGTAAGAAAGCAGTTACTGTACTAATTTACAAGTCTATTTTTCCCTAAGCACAACAGGCTGACATCTTAGTCTACTTTTTGTTTACTTTCTGTTTATAATCACCATTCATATACTCAAGAAAAAAATACCCCTCAGTTTGATGCATATACTTAAGCATTACAAATGGTTGGAGAACAAATAACCTGCGCAATTTATCCAACACAGCATTTTAGTATTAATTACATTAGGTTCATTAGGTTGCAGAGAGCGATTAAGGAACATGAAAGGTCTGCAGGTGCAGCATCAGCAGCTAATCAATCGCCATTATCCTGCTCACGACAAAGGTCTTGACCTGAGGGAAATGCTAGATGTTGCTATTACTTCTCGTTAGATTTGGCAAGATGCCTTAAAGAAATAAGCAGCAACATTTAATGACTGCTGAGGAGATTTAAAAGTTTTTAAGTAAATGGCTATTCACACGGGGGGAGAAAAAAAGACTCATTTTGAAAATACTAAATATGTTCAGCTCAACAGCCGAGATCCATTTCCTGCAGTTTTCTTGTCAAATAACAAAAACAGTTTAGGACACAGAGTACTCGGTGGAAACATACAGTGTCCTGAACAGATGTGATTATGAGGATTAGGCCTGACTACGTCTCTGCTCCCAACTCTCTTCTCGCCTCTGACCCTCATTTATTCAGTGGGAGGGAGGCAGAGAGGAGAGACGGGCAACAGGTCTTGTTGTACTGTACAAACTGTGCGTCAGCTAGCAAACGGCTCTTTCAGTAAACCTGCACGGTTCGGCTGTTTTCCTTGTTAAGATTCTGTTTGGGAGAATAATAAAAATGATCAGGACCATGATTCAGCACGCAAAGAAACACCCAGGGGTAGGTTGCATTAAGTTTATGTAAATGATGAGTGTTTCTTTTGAAAAGTAGTATGTTTTACCTGGGAGTTAGGAACTGCCAAAGTTAGAATTTAATTTATTTTTTTAATAAATCCGATAAGCCATAAACATGCATATAAACAGTATGAATGTGATTCTACTATTCAAAACAATTTGTAAGAAAATAAAATGTCTTAAGCATAAAACATACAACAAAAACGGCTGCTTTTATTTCACCTTTGAACAATTCTAAAAAAAAATTTGATTAAAACATTCTGGAAAAAGAAGAAGAAGGTAAAAATAGATCAACATTAAGTTTCACTTGTTCCAACCACAGCAGAAGGGGGGCATTTCTACTGACAGTTTTAAAGTTAAAAAGTGGAACTGACACAATTACTTTAACTCATAACTCCTCGCCACATTAATTTGCTTTAATTTCATATTATATAAAGACAGACACAAGCTCTCTGTGCTTGTTTTTCACCCCCTCTGTTGCCTCAGAGCTGTACGGAGGGTGACCCAAATTCATGGACTGACAGGGTTGACTTGGCCGTGCACCAGAAAAGTAATAAGGGCAGCATCAGTATCGAACCCCTGCGAGTATAAAACACTTCCTATATCGGTCAGGCTGGACGGTGAAAGGTGAAACGCTCGGCTTGTGTCACGCAGCATGAGGAGTTCATCACGGAGCAGACAGTTTCCAACAGTCAGGCGTTTCTTAAGTCTGTTTTTTTTTCTTTTGTGTGTGTGCATGTGTCAGATCAAAGCTGACCTGCTTTTCTGTGTGCTTGTGTGTTGTTGTTTGTGTTTACTCTGGCGATGACAAGAGGAGATGCCTCTGCAGCAGCCAGGGTTCAGACTCTCTATGAACCAATTTTCAAGGTTATAAAGACGTTCCAAGAGACGTGCACAGGGTATACTGTAGAAAGCACTGATATGACCTCAAACATGTAGCTGACAATAATCAAACACATGCAGCTTTTTATTTTAAGGCTGAAGTGTCTGAATCTCTGTCGGGCAAATAAATGATTATAGCAGGATTAGTTTTTTGTTTCAATTCAGTTCAGTTTATTTATTTAATGACAAGTCATCTCAGTGCACTGAACAGAAACATTCATATACATAAAAAGTAAGTTAATAACATTAATTATCTGAGGAGCAGACTGCTTTGAATTTAAATTCATCACAGACTCTCATATTGAGCAAGCATGAAGGCGACAGTGGAAAGGAAAAATTCCCTCATGAGGAAGAAACCTTCAGCAGAACCAGGCTCAGGACAAGTGATCATCTGCTTTGACCGGCTGGGTTTGAGAGGAACGGGAAGGAGGAACAGATACACAATGGCAGGTTGAGAATCACATGTTAAGATAGAAATAATTTCAAATGAAAACTATTCAATTTTAACAATTCATTTAAAGAAATGAGGTCAATTTGTCCACAATAGTCTAAACCTATGGCAGCATAACAAGCCAACCCTAACTAAAGGATTTATCAAAAAGGAAAGTCTTAAGACCAGTCTGGACAATGTGTCAGCCCAATGGACAGAAACTGGAAGTTGGTTCCACAAGAGAGGAGCCTGATAACTGAAATATCTTCCTCCCATTCTGCTTTTGAAAACTCTAGGAACCACAAGTAAACCTGCAGTTTGAGAGCTAAGTGCTCTGTTAGGAAAATATGAAACAATAAGATCTCAAATATAAGATGGAGCTAGGGTGTTGAGGGCTTTGTAGGTTAGAAGTAAGATTTTGAAATAAATTCTGGATTTGACAGGGAGCCAATGGAGAGAAGCTAAACCTGGAGCAATATGATCTCTCCTACTAACTCCAGCTAAGACTCTGGCAGCAGCATTTTGGATCAACTGAAGATTTTTTTAAAGAAGTATTTGGACAAATAAAACATTGCAATAGTCCAGTCTAGATGTGACAAATGCATGAACCAGTTTTGCGGCATCATTTTTAGATAAGATGTTTCTAATTTCATACATAGTTTCCTTTGGTTTATTGGATTGGAGGTTTTAATCAAATATTTTGCACAATGTTTCACTCTTGAACCATGAGTTGGGGACAATATACAGACACTACGGCACCAAGTTTTAGGTCAACATTGGTAAAATTGGCTGAGTTAGACATTTGTGTGTTGCCTCAGCTCTGTTGCTTGTGTCAGCTGTCTTGAACCAAGCTATAGACGAATATTCAATGATTACTTCAAGTTTCATCAAGAGCCCATTTTGAGATCAACCCAGCCCATGACTCAGCTTGCACCTTTGAAAACTGAACATTTAGTTTTAAAGCCATGAGACGTGAGGAAAACTTTCAAAATCATTAGTTCCAGTGCCTGCGCTTGAATATATGCAAAGATTCCACTGATTGAATATTTGAGGAGATATATGCTACCAACAAGGATACATCTTTTCCTAGTACGTTAGTGATCATTTTAGCAGGATGGTGTCCAACATGATAAAAGGAATATCGCTCCAATGCAATTGAATAATTTATATTTAATTATATTGATTGATTAAATAAAGCATTTCATATACTTGTATTTTTAATAAAAGTTCAAACAAATGATTCATACTAAACGCATACTATCATTTGTACTAAACTAAGATGTAGTTCTGTTTTTTTTTTTTCCTCTTTCTTCCCCCACAAAAATTTCTGGAACTAGTTTGTTTTGAGTTGTTTGGTCCTGAGAGGTTTCTGAGTGTGGAGCTGAGGGAAACAAGATTTGGTTACAGCAACTTCAATGTGGCGAATCTCAAAACTTATCAGCAGACAGTCTTCTAATCAGCAACAAGGCGAGTGTAACGCATTTAGCAGAGGACAGATGTCTAGATACAGCTGAGTAGAGACATCCTTCAGTTCAACCTGATCAAACTGTCAGCTCGCTGCATCTCCACTAGCTCTGTGTGAGCTGAGACCAGCTGTTCACCAGCGGTGTGACTGTCTAAAACACAGTACCACACAGTAAAAGTACACAGGGAATGTGTGGACGCGTAGCATCAACAAAAAGATGCTTTTCGATTTTCAAACGTTCTCCAGCTGTTTTTTTAAGATGGCACATCACATTCTCATGGCCCCCTTCTGTGCTTTTTATTCTCAATATTGTTTTATTTCATTATGCACATTTCTGCCTGACAGGTATAGTGTTTTATAAATCGGATTTGAACCAGCGACCTTCTGTTTGAGAGGCAACAGCTCTACCAACTGTGCAATCATGCTGCCCCCACCATTATAACTTTGGGGTTTGGGACTAATTTCTTTCTCCTCTTCTGTCCTCAGCTGATCCCTCTGTTTTTCTTTTTTACTTTGGGCGTCACAGGAGCTGCGCTCTACCTGATCCGACTGGCAAGAGGGCCTCATGTCATCCATCCATCCATCCATCCATTTTCTTTACCTGTTTATTCCATTTTGGGTCACGGGGGTCGCTGGTGCCCGTGTCCAGCAATCACTGTGTGAGGGGCGGGGTACACCCTGGACGGGTCGCAAGTCCATCACAGGGACACATAAAGACAAACGAGACAAACAACCATTCACTCTCTCACTCACACCTAGGGACAATTTAGAATTACCAATCAGCCTAACATGCATGTTTTTGGACTTTGGGAGGAAACCGGAGCACCCGGAGAAAACCCACGCATGCACGGAGAGAACATGCAAACTCCACCCAGAAAGGCCCCTGGACCAGGGTTTGAACCAAGGACCTACTCGCTGAGAGGCAGCAGCTCTACCAGTTGCGCCACCGTGCTGCCGGCCTCATGTCATCCATCCATCCATCCATTTTCTTTACCCGCTTATTCCATTTTGGGTCACGGGGGTCGCCGGTGCCCATGTCCAGCAATCACTGTGCGAGGGGCGGGGTACACCCTGGACGGGTCGCAAGTCCATCACAGGGCCACATAGAGACAAACGAGAAAAACAACCATTCACTCTCTCACTCACACCTAGGGACAATTTAGAGTTACCAATCAGCCTAACATGCATGTTTTTGGTCTGTGGGAGGAAACCGGAGTACCCGGAGAAAACCCACGCATGCACGGAGAGAACATGCAAACTCCACCCAGAAAGGCCCCTGGACCGGGGTTTGAACCAAGGACCTGCTCGCTGAGAGGCAGCAGCTCTACCAGTTGCGCCACCGTGCTGCCGGCCTCATGTCATGTAAGTATTTATTCCAGCTTCATGGCAACTTTTGCAAACCTGTTTGTAGTATGACATATGCTGGATATATTCATACATTTTTCACGAGTTCTTCATCTTTCTGACTGTGTAAATGTCGTGCGTTGAGTTTAACAGAAATGCGAACGAGAGACGTTATTTATCTTTGACCCATCAAATGAATGCGGTCATTTATTTGCAGAATCAAAGTTTAACATCAAACATTTACATTAATTTGGCAAAATATGAAAACAATAACAATGGCAAGTTCACAGAAAGTGGACAATACGGCGATTGTCCTCACTTCTCAGCAGAACAACAGACATCAATCACACGGCGGTGATTGAGAACTTTGCTTCAGATATTTCTAAAATATCTGTAATGATTTTAGGAGAAAGGAGAGTTTAAGATGGAAAATGGAGATTTATCTTACAGAGAGATGTGTGAGGGAGTTTATCTGTGGGACCAGAACAACACGCTCTTTGGGGAATCAGCTTGGCCACGGTACACTTGGTCGAAATAGAACCTTCTACCTGGTTGATGATAAAATCAGCGTCGGCGTAGGGTTCCTTTCTGACTCTTTCAGCGTCTCCATGAGGACAGCCAAACCCTTAGAGAGTCGTGCGAGGTTATCCAAACAGAAGTCATAACTCCCAAAATCCTCTCTGCATCCTGGAATGTCAGAATTCTGAACTCCTTCAGAACTCTCTTCAGAGAGTTAAACTCTGGAACTCTTCTCCATGAGCTGCATCAGAGAGTTTTTCATCTCTCTTCTCCAGGAGAACTGCAACTCTTTGTAACTCTTTAACTCTTTAACTCTTTTACCCTTTAACTCTGGCGAGAACCGGGAAGTTGCCACATTTAAATGAGTTGACTTCCGGGTCATTTTAGAGCTTTCTGATTGGTGGATGGACCAGATCAGAGGTGTGGTTTGTGATGTAAGGTGTTATCAAAGTCAAGGGCAGAGAATGAGATTACTTAAAACAGACAGAAAGATTATTGGAGAAAACGAGACTTCGTGGAGCCTCTACTCTGATTATCTGCTGTAAAGATTAAACATGACATTTCTTCTCAGTAAACATTTTAGTTGACCGAAGCCTGAACTTTAACATACTTACAAATTTGCTCATTGAAGACAGAAAAATCAAGAAATGCATATTACCCTGATTTCTTCTTTGAATGAGGAATAAAAATCATTACTTACTGTTTATGTAAATAAAATGAGTAGTTCTCTTCAACCTGTAAACATTGAGTGAACTAACACAATTTGATTATCAAACATTTGTAAAATAGTAATGATTACAGAGGATTGTCTTTTCTACTTGATTAATTCAAGAAAGAAAGTCTCCAGATGGCTCAAACTGTATTTCTGGATGCAGATCAATGAAATAACAGTCTCTGTCCATCTGGTCAGTTTTGACATAGGCCTAGTCCACTACATGTTTAATGTGAACAAATATAAACTGTTTGTTGGTGTTACCTGGTCCCAACGCTTGGCAGCTAAAGACGTCTTCTGTAAAGATCCTTTTAATACCAGCTGTTTGATTGAACATATTCTTCCAATGTTTATTCATGTTCCAGTAAGAAATGCTCATCACCACTCTTAAATCTTTTTAGATTTGATAAGAATGGGTTTTTTTAAAATTCAGATTTATTAAAAAGTGAATCTGTTGCATGATTTAGTTTGGATTTATCTGTGGCGAAACGATGAACCATGGCCGAGCTCATCATCCAGAGCTGCAGACTTTACATTTCCCCCTTCTGGCATAGACAAAAATTACAAACCCTGTTTGTGCTTAGAGAAAAGATAATGTCTGATCAATTACTTTAAAAATACTGTATTATCCTAACTAGACTTTTCTTTAACCTTTTCTGTGCTTTCAAACTTCACCACTCCAGTGTCTGTATTTTTCTCCATCCCTTTAGACAATGGATTCAAAAAAGTAAAAACATCAAGATTTAGTTGGCAATCCTCAACAATAATAATAACAATTTATTCAATTTGTACTGCACTTTACATTTTACAATCTCAAAGTGCTACAATATAAAATATCTAAAGAGAATAAAATATGGACTAATAAATACAAAAAAAAATTAAAAGCTAAAAAACTTAAAAAAAACCTTGCAGGATTAAAATACTTTTAAACACTATAAAATGTTTTAAATAAAAAAGGTCTTCAGTTCTTTCTTAAAACTTTCTGTAGTCTGGGGTATCCTTAGAAGTGAGTGATAAGAAGTGCTTTATCAACATACTTTATGTTCATGTTTTAAACACATTCAAAGTCAAAGTAAATGATAAAGTAAATAAAAAAAATCTCAAAACTCAGCTGAAAGAATTGTAGCTGCTTGCATCTGTAAGCTAGAAAACGTCGGTACAAATGTGGGTTAAAACTAGTCAATGTCTGACTGATGCAAGAGTTGATTCATTTTTTATTTTTTTATTGCTTACATTAGAAATCCAATTGAGTTTTAAAAAGTAATTTGTTCAGTGGTGCCAAAACACAAAATATGAATGCATTAATTTTATTACGAGTTAAACAAATCTTGACTTCCTTAATTAAACTGGTAAATGTTGGTGTTTTTTTAATTAAGTGTATGGTCCCCCACCCCCATTTATGTTAAATGTTATTAGGAAAAATAAAATAAACCAAACACCCTGAAAACCTGAAATTATGACGCTAACTAATAAATGCAAATATAAGTGCATTTACTTTGATGCTTTAAGTAATAAATGTCAGACAATTAAAAAAAAGCAAATTTAGGCTCAAATAAGAAAAACCTTTAAAATGTGGACATTTTAGAACTGCACCCACCCTGGACTCTGTGACCACACGTACAGTAAATGTAGATGGATTATGTCCCATTTCAGGCCCGTTTTTCTGAGGGTCAGACATAAAGCCTGACCTCATCACCAGCTGCTGATGAGTGTTGTGGTCAGTGGCCCCCTCTCAGGCTTTGGAGTGTTTGTTGTAATGGACACAGGAGGAGGAGGACACACACTCCTGCTGCCATCTCTGTCTTTTTGTTTGTGCTTTGGCGACATGTGTTGCCGGAGGGGGAAGTGAAGGGATGGACAGTCGCAGTGGAGAGCCGTGAAATAAATCCAGACTTTGGTTAATGAACAGGGGAGAACTGCCAATTCACTGGGCTGAGTTCATCATCTAATCATGCTCCTCTCTCTCTCTCTCCATCAGATGTAAGAGTCCCATTTTGTGTTGTCTGTCCTTCTGCTCCCTTTTAGTCGTTACATCATCTGCTATTCTTTCATTCTGCACCAATTGCCACGCTGCTCTTCGCCTTGTACTTTCTTTTAAAAACACATTTATTTTGTTCTTTTCACACTTTCCAACATGCTGCGAATCTTGTCACATTTGAAGCCTCTGGGACAAAAAGACCAACCCTGAGCCCTGGAACAAGCTTGATCCAACCTATCAATACAAGGTGACAACTCCCATCACACGCTGCAAGACTGCCGTTCTGCTCGCACAAACTGCCAGAAAAATAATCCAGACAAGAATGGCGTAATTTCTCTCAAAATCCCACTCAATCATTATGAGCTTAAAAGCTCCCCAAAATAGGAAGTTAAACAAATCTGTGCTGGAAAAAATAAATAAAGAATGCGCCCAGCCTTCTTCAAACAAAGAGACAAATTGTTACGTCCTTTAAAAAAAAATCTAGAAAGCTAGAAAGAAAATGGCATTCCACTAACGTTGAAGAATTTTACTTACTGTATCTTGGAGAGATAGCCTGCTAATGCATAAAAAAGTGCTTCGTAAAGCTAGAACTTTATATTATTCACCTTTAATTGATGAGAATAAAAATAACCCCAGGTTCCTTTTCAGTACCATAGCTAGTCTAATGAAAAATCCCATCTCTGTTGATTCATGTATCCCTACAACTATAAACAGTGATGAGTTCATGAGATTCTTTATAAATAAAATTATTTTAGGGAAAAAATTCAAACCAACATTCCTAGTATCACCTCCGGTTCCGTGTCAGATGAGACAACTTAAAAAAATGTCACTAGAACCTGATTTATGTTTGTGGACAGTTTTTGTCCAGTTGAGCTCTCTGAATTGTCAAAGACAAGCGAGATAAAAGCTGAATCTCTTGGCAGTGTAATAAAGTCAAAGGTCTTGATAAAGTCATGAACACGTTGCAACATTCTGAATCAAAAGAGCCGAAAACAACCATTTAAAATCATTCTTCTGGATGATGTATTTTTTTCAGAGAAATGAGGATTTTCTGAGGTTTTCAAGGCTCGAGTACTTGCCTGTGGAATTGAAGTTGCAGCAGACAAAAGGTCACGACTCGACATGTTTAATTCTCCGCAGCAAGGCAAAAGGTCTCGCATCAGAATTCCACTGCCGTTTAAACAATAATCATAATGAGGAGGGAGGGATGCAAGCCTGAAGAAAGGGTGATGCTTTCAATGGCAGATCTGGAAATATACACAAGGAAAATATACTTCTAATATTCAAATACCTTCGTGTTTCATTAGCCGTGATTTATGCATTCTGTAAGACTTCATGGCACTGAAAAAGATCTAGAGGAATATAAAGAATAAGATGGCAAAACCATGATAAATGTTTGGATGAGTGTTTGCTGAAGAAAAAAAGGGCAACATTTTAAGACGTGCATGCCCTCTTGAAGACAGCGCTGTTAAATTTAATTTAAGCAAAGCAGATTTAAATGTATTCCACCTTCTCCCCACAGTTTGTGGCCGTCAAAACGGACTACAAGAGTCTGAAGAAAGACAGACCCGACTTCTAAAAAAATAAAAATAAAAAGTCCTCCTGGAAACTCCAGGGGCACCAAGTCTGGCAGGACCCCCTATCCAGCTGTCACCTCACTGATGCTGAACTTCCTGTCTCACGTTGTGCAGAAATAAATGAATATTGTAAAGAAATTTTAAAAGATCACATGAATGCAGTTTTCGAGGCTGATCATCATGGTACAGTAAACGTTTGTGGGAAAAGTTTTTTTCTTCTGCTTCCTTTTTAAACTGGGATAAAAATGTCAGTTTTGTTATTTGTCTTCTATTTATGACTATTAACCCAACGACCATTGTTACTAAAATATGTCCCACACTTCATGTACATTCAAAGCTCAAATGAATTCCTTTAATGTGACATTGAGGAGAATAAAATCTCTCCAGAGTCTGAGCTTTGTGACAGCTTTGTATGGCACTGCAGCTGATAATTAAAGGTCTAGCATACCTTGAAGATTATTGCCCACCACTTTTCTTGCAAAGATTTTAGCTCAAGATCATCTCATGTTGAGAAATGTTATAAAACTTATGATTTTTAACAGATCTTGCAAAACATTATGTTCAATTTCATGCATTGTTGTATCATACTGCATGATCTGTTAGTGATTGGAGGATGTGTTGTGAATGGTTGTCAGCTACTACAATAACTTTTAGCTCAATATCTGTAAAATTCATGCAGTTGTAGCCATTTTTGATTTGGCTAAGGTTGATCAGCTGTGGCAGCCATTTTGAATTGGGGTGACTTCCGAAAAGGTTGTAGATGTACCTCCACTGATTACTTTAAGTAAAGTTGAATAAAATCTTTTCAGTTATTGATGAGATATTTTGCTAAAGTTACAGACAAATGAACACACTCACAAAACGGCTCTGTTCACCTTCCATGGCAGGTGACATAAAAGAACCTTTCTGAGGTTAGCATCTCAAGTATGTTTAGGTGAATGAAGTAGCAGCACCATATTTTCTCTCCAATTTAAAATCAGACCATTCAGAACTGCAGCATCAGTCATGCTCGTCCTCGCTGTGCGTTAGTTTTAAGGTCTAGAGGTTTTGTGATCTCTCTTCTGAAATTTGGCAGAACAAGTGACGTGTCAGCAACAAGCATTCGTGCTGTGTGTGATTAGGTTTGATTTGGTGCGAGTGTCCAAGGACAGAAGGGTCCAAGTGATTCAGTCAAAGTGCATTTTAAGAACGGGAAACAAGCTGCATGTCAGTTTAAACACTAACATGGGAACTGAGTGGTGGTAGACGAAGCCTGACGACAAACAGGAAGTGAACTTTGTTAAACACTCAACGATGAAAAGGATGTTTCAAAATCTATCGTTTTCAATAATGTCTGTTTTGAATAGAGGTATTTTAATTCCCACAGGAATCATTATTTCCCCATCCTCTACGTTTTACTGCAAGTTAGGCTACGTTAGTTAATGTAGCCTACAGTGAGATAACATGTTGTTTTCTGCCGCACAACATTGTACAACATGGAATAACGAAACAAGTGAAGACAAAAATAATAGATTGCTTAGAGTGGTGCAGTGTTATTCTCTCTTTATTAATAGATTAAAAGCATGTATTATTTTGTGACTTACATCAGTTTTATTAAACATGTATCCTCATGCAACAATGTCAGTCCTGTATATTAGAGGTCAACTGATCATGTTTCCTCCCCCCACAATTACCAGCAACTTTAGAAAACTATAGTTGGCCTACAGTCTATGTCAAAAGCTGATTTTTTTCATCTTTGTATTAATTATCTTAGATGCCAGCTATTAGCAACATAAATATATGCTTTTATTTCTCCAACTTTGGCACATGTAGTTTTTTTGTTTAAATACAAAAAGTGCAAAAGTGCCTTTTATTTTTGGTTTATTGCTCAAACTGGACAATGATTGTGTGCACGTCTTATTCTACAGCTCTAATCTGTAGAAGATCTTGTTTGATTTAATTAGCTAAGTGAGTGGTCAGCCTCTTATGATAAATGAGTATTTTTACTTTCTTTACAGGGTACACGAGTTGAGAACAAGCTTTTAACCACATGCAGTTAAAAACAAACAAAAAAAAGTGCAGAGCACTGAGCTGGCACTATCTGTGCTCGACTCGTGCCGGGTCCGCAAAACACAGACCTTTACTTTTAATTTCCACAGAAAAAAAGCAAAATCAAACACTCTTTACTGAGCTAATCACTTCACAAATCCAGCACCGCTGGGATAAGTAAACCACACATGAACACATGCTGAGACACGAAGCTGCACATAAAAAGGACCAAAATAGAAAATCATGGGGAGGAATGTTTGTGTGGGTCAGAGAGACCGCTTTTAACCTCTGAGAGACTCAGCCCATCAAAAAGAAATTTGTTTTTTAAACTCATGTGCAGAGCAGGAATCAGAATTGTCTACAAATATCCAACTCCTGCTGGCATCCCCCCCCCCCCCCCCCCGCACACACACATACACAGCCTGTTACAGGGATTAGTGAAAGATGCACATTTGTTTGTGCACCTTCACTCAGCATCACCAGACAGCACTAACATCCTGATTTAATGACACAGACCTTTCAGGTTCAGGCCCTGAGCTCTGCTAATACACCGCCCCTTCCAGAACTTCTGGTCCAGTCGCTGCATGGACCCATTTAGGACTCGGAGTGTGTCTGTAAACATTTTTAAACACAAGATGCTTCATCCAACAGTGAGGTGACCTGCCCAGTGGGCGCGGTCCATTGTTAGCCAGTGAGCTTTTGTGCATGCACGCACAATTACATAAAACAGTTAAAACCTGCTGATAGGTAATCAGCCACCAAAGCATCACACTGGGGCATATCTTAGAGATACACACACACATGCATGCACATGCAGCACTACAGATATTATAGCCAAACAGCATCAAGTGCGAGCAGTGAAAATTCATTCAACCTTTATTTAGACAGGTAAATCTCATTGAGCCTCGAGGACTCATTTACAAGAGAGACCTGATTTCAACAAAGAATGATGACAATAATGGACAACAGTGACAACAATAAACAGTTATAAAAAGTCATACTCCAGTTATTTTTTTGTTGTTTTTTTTTTAAACAAATAGGATGGCAAAAAAAAAGTAAAAAAAAACAGCTAGATTCTAAAGCGAATGTAGAAAACTAAAAACAGGAACATCCCTGCATTGGTCCCTGCCAGGTGTCCAACAGATTCTTAAAGACACTTAGAGAGGTCAAGGTCGAGAGCTTCAAATCTTTTTGTAAGATATTCCAGGAAACAGGAGCGGAGTAGGAGAAGGCCCTTTTGCCAAGTTCAGTCCTCACTGAGGGAACACTGCAGGTAATAATGTCCTGAGATCGCATGACGTAGCTGCACTCACGCAGAGACATGTAGGAGGAGATGTATGAAGGCAGCAGACCAAGAAGTGATTTAAAGATGGAAAATGTACCAGTGAGAGAGTCTGCGTGAAGTTAATGATGTCCAGTTAACCAGTGAATACAGGGTGCAGTGGTGGGTATGATAATCACAGCCAGTTATGAATCTTAGTGCACCATGATAGACAGCATCCAACATCTGCAAGGTTCTTGTAGGAGCGTTTATGTAAATAATGTCACCGTAATCAATGGAGGGAAGGAAAGTCATAGATACAAGGCGTTTCCTGCCATTTAGGGTTAGACAGGATCTGTTTCTGAAAAAGAAACTCAGTTTAACTTTCAGTTTCTTTATCAAGTTTTCCACATGGAGCTTAAAAGAGAGATACGAGTTGACCAAGATACCCATATATTTATAGGAATCAACAAACTCAATCGGGACACAATTTGAGGATAAAATCGGAGGAAGAACTGCTGGGACCAACTTCCTATTTGAAAAAAGCATCCCTTTGGTTTTGTCGGCATTTAGGACAAGTTTGAGGCGGATCAAATCAGTCTGGATGATGTTGAATGCATATTTCAAAAGCTGGAAAGCCTTATCAACAGTTTTAGCTCAACAATAAACAACTGTGTCATCAGCATGGAAATGTATGGATGCATTAGGGATGTTTTTCCCTACATTATGTATGTAGATTGTAAAGAGGGTGGGTCCTAAGACTGAGCCTTGTGGTACACCATTGTTGACTGTTAAATAACTGGAGGAAGGACCATTATGTTGAACACATTGCCTGCGGTCTGAGAGATAGTTAGAGAATGAACCAATGGTGTGTTCTGAGAAACCGATTTCTGAGAGTTTATGACACAAGATGTTATGATCCACAGTGTCAAAAGCTTTAGACAGGTCTAAGAAAAGTGCAGCACAATAATCCTTAGCATCCAGTGCTTCAACAACGTCATTAAGAACCTTCAGTGAAGCAGTTGTTGTGCTGTGTTGTTTCCTGAAACCAGATTGATGTGGAGGGAAGATGTTAAATGATTCCAGGTATTTTTTGATTTGAGAGTTTATCAGTTTTTCTAGAACCTTGGCTAAAATGCAGAGTTTAGTGATTGGCTGATAGTTGTTCAGTGAGGTGGGGTCACCTCCTTTCAGCAAAGGATGAACAAAGGCTGTTTTCCAAGTGTGTGGAATGGAGTTTTGGCTTATGGAGAGATTGAAGATGTGGGTCACAGGGACTGTGAAGATATGAGCAGCAAGCCTTAAGAAATAAGGTGGAAGTTCATCTGGACCTGCAGATTTTTTAGGATCAAGACATTTTAACAGTTTATTAACCTCACTAACTGAGAACGGAGAAAAAGAGAAGGTGTGATTAACTGAGAATTGACTTGTAGGAGGGATTTGATTTGTACATTGTTTGATTATTAAGTGAAGTGGTTGATTTTACATTAGTAACTATGTCAAATAAAGAACTAGAAGCAACAAAATGTTTGTTAAAACACTTCAGGATCTCGTGCTTATTTGACACAGGAACAGAGTTAATGAGAAGTTGTGATGGGAGGACAGATGATTGGGGGGTGCCTGAGAGAGATTTGATAGTTTTCCAGAATCTGTTGGGGTCATTTAGATTTTTGGAGGTCTGAGATAAGAAATAGTTGCATTTTGCTGCTTTGA